TGGAGTCAATTTCAAAATGATGTTTCTAACTCTATAAACGTCCATTTGAAATTCTAAAAATATTTCTGTTTTCCCCTTTGAGTGTTCTAAGTATGGCCGAAGGAATCACTCAATTTGGATATCTATAGTCTGATTTATCAAGGTTTTAACGTCCAAAGGTCAATCTGGATTCCCTGTGTAATACTTCACTGTTTTCAGTAAAACGTCTATATCATATGATCTTGGAAAATTTTCATACTTTAACCTAGAAAACTACTTGAAAGTATCTTTCTAATGCCACAAATTTCATATGAAACGGAGTTGGGATGAATTTTATAAAATCTGCCGAAGTTTGCTGCCTCAACTAAACTTGACAGTGCCGAGGCCGTATTTACAATGTTTAAATTTCATGTTGGCATGCACTTTTATCGGCCATAAAGTTTTATAAAAATAAGTTTTTAACATGTAGTATTCCTATTTAAGAATATTTACATGTACCAAAAACAAAAGTTTTTATGTAAAGTTCGTGGCCCTCAAAGCTTAGGTTCGGGGCGTCACAAATTCGATTGGAATCGAGCTAATGAAAAGTTACTTTTGGTTTCATGATAACTTAGGGTTTGTTCATTTTTAGCGTATTGCTCGTCTAATTCGATTGGAATCGAGCCAAAGAAAAGTTGTGTTTCATTTCATGATAACTTCGTGTTTGTTCATTTTTGGCTAATTACTAGTCTATAACAATTGGAATCGAGCTAATGAAAAGATGATTTTAATTTCATGATAACTTCGGGTTTGTTTGTTTTTGGTGAATTGCTAGTCTAATTCAATTGGAATCGAGCCAATGAAAAGAGGTTTTTCATTTAATGATAAATTCGGGTTTGTTCATTTTTGGCGAATTGCTACTCCAATTCGATTGGAATCGAGCCAACGAAAAGTGGCTTTTGATTTCATGATAACTTCGGGTTTGTTCATTTTTGGCGAATTGCTAGTCTAAATCGATTGGAATCGTGCAAGTGAAAAGTGGCTTTTGATTTCATGATAACTTTGGTTTATTTAGTTTTTTCAAATTACTATCTAATTCGATTGGAGGCGAGCCATTGAAAAGTGGCTTTTCTTTTCATGATGACTTCGGGTTTCTTCATTTGTGGCGAATCAATAGTCTAATTCGATTGGAATCGAGCCAACAAAAAGAGGTTTTTCATTTAATGATAACTTCGGGTTTGTTCATTTTTGGCAAAATTGCTACTTCAATTCGATTGGAATCGAGCCAACGAAAAGTGGCTTTTGATTTCATGATAACTTCGGGTTTGTTCATTTTTGGCGAATTGCTAGTCTAAATCGATTAGAATCGTGCAAGTGAAAAGTGGCTTTTGATTTCATGATAACTTCGGTTTATTTATTTTTTTCAAATTACTATCTAATCCGATTGGAGTCGAGCCAATGAAAAGTGGCTTTTCATTTCATGATGACTTCGGGTTTGTTCATTTGTGGCGAATCAATAGTCTAATTCGATTGGAATCGAGCCAACGAAAAGAGGTTTTTCATTTAATGATAACTTCGGGTTTGTTCATTTTTGGCGAATTGCTAGTCTAAATCGATTGGAATCGTGCAAGTGAAAAGTGGCTTTTGATTTCATGATAACTTCGATTTATTCAATTTTTACCAATTGCTATCTAATTCGATTGGAATCGAGCCAATGAAAAGTGGCTTTTGATTTCATGATGACTTCAAGTTTGTTCGTTTGTGGAGAATCGCTAGTCTAATTCGATTGGAATCGAGCCAATGAAAAGAGGTTTTTCATTTCATGATAACTTCGGGTCTGTTCATTTTTGGTGAATTGCTACTCCGATTCGATTGGAATCGAGTCAATGAAAAGTGGCTTCTGATTTCATGATAACTTCGGGTTTGTTCATTTTTGGCGAATTGCCAGTCTAAATCGATTGGAATCGTGCAAGTGAAAATTGGCTTTTGATTTCATGATAACTTCGGTTTATTTATTTTTTGCGAATTGCTATCTAATTCGATTGGAGTCGAGCCAACGAAAAGAGGCTTTTGATTTCATCATAACTTCGGGTTTGTTCATTTTTGGCGAATTGCCAGTCTCATTCTATTGGAATCGAGCCAAAGAAAAGTGGTTTTTCATTTCATGATAATTTCGTGTCTGATCGCCTTTGGCGAATTGCTATTCTAAATCGATTGGAATCGAGCTAATGAAAAAATGTTTTTGATTTCATGATAACTTCGGGTTTGTTCATTTTTGGCGAATTCCTCGTCTAATTCGATTGGAATTGAGCCAGAGAAAAGTGGCTTTTGCTTTCATGATAACTTCGGGCTTGGTCATTGCTGGCGAATTGCAAGCCTAATTCGATTGGAATAGAGCCAAAGAAAAGTGGTTTTTCATTTCATGATAACTTCGGGTGTGTTCATTTTTGGCGAATTACTAGTCCAATTCGATTGAAATTGAGCCAATGAAAAGTGGCTTTTGATTTCATGATAACTTCGGGTTTGTTCATTTTTGACGTATTGCTAGTCTAATTCGATTGGAATCGAGCCAAAGAAAAGTGATTTTTCAATTCATGATAACTCCG